GGCATTACTGAGTAGCCTATATAAGCATAAAACGAAATGTAAAGACGCTGTCGAACTACAATCAGCTACAGATACTGCAGCTTTTATGCAGTGAAGTGATGCAATTAAAGGCTAATATTGCATCATCTCAGTATACATGCAATTTTCTATTGGTCACCAGTATCAATTGCGCAATATGCAGCTGAAGTTGCATCATAATTTTGAATGGCTTACGTCATTAGATGGGTGAATATATCATGAAAACTAGAGCCAATCAACATTTTTTAGGGTCATTTTCGTTTTCAGCACCCCAAAATTATGTAAGATTAGCTAATTTTATGCCCAAAACTTTTTACCTGTTGAACGGTGTTATTGAGGATATGTAGACTTTCGCATCATCAGGTAAGATCATCTCTACAAGGACGTCATGGTGGAGAATCAGCCGCCCCTCACATCACCGGGTAAGAGGAGACTTTATTGTAAAGGAGGGAGCAGTACGGAGGGTCCACCTAGATCCCCCATCATCTAATGAACACATAGAAACAATGGATTCAGTCAGTGTGTGTGTTTCCTACAGATGGATCCGGTCATGGGAACCCACCAGAGAGATGTCCCCGTCCTCTGTATTCTCAGGATTCCACGCAGGAAGGTCACATTTTCCCTCACCATCATCAGGCAGATGGATCCAGTAATGGGAACCCACCAGAGAGATGTCCCCGTCCTTTGTATTCCCGGGATTCCACACAGGAAGATCACACCATCTCACAGGTTAAAGAAGAGATAAAAGAGGAGGATGATGACGACACTGACGTGATGGATGAATTTTCAGAAGGACATGAGGACCTCTTCAAGGAGGTCATGGTGGAGCCATTTACTGACCCCAATCCTCTGTATTCCTGGGATTCCATAGGGGAAGATCACAACTATGCAAAACCTTATCAGGTAGATGGATCTATGTATCTCAATATTGGTTGTAAGCTATAAGAGGACATTCTTCATTTTTCTATTAGTCTTTAAACCAATGTATTGTCATCTTCGGGGTTTAGGGTGAAGAACTGAAAGACATCAAAGCTGAGATTAAAGAGGAAGAAGAAGAGATGTTGGTGAGTGGAGATCAGCAGTCTATGGAGGAGGCGGAGATGATTATGGAAAGTAAGCAGGAGGAATCTTCTCTACATTTGGACACAAGTAAGTAAGAAGCAATAAATGCAGAAACAGTTCGCCTTTTCATTTTACTTTTAGGAGTATATTGTATGTTTTCAAATCTATAAATGTATATGTTATATGTATATGTAAAATCGCCAATCATCATTAGTACGGAGGGTCCACCTAGATCCCCCATCATCTGATAAATGTATAGAAACAATGGATTCAGTCAGTGTGTGTGTGTGTGTGTTTTCTACAGATGGATCCAGTAATGGGAACCCGCCAGAGAGATGTCCCCGTCCTCTGTATTCCCGGGACTCCATACAGGAAGATCAGGAGATCCCTCAGAAGGATCAGGTAGACAAGATTTAGCAACTGGAACTCAAAAAGAATTTTATGCTTTGAGATAACGTTCTTCTATGTCATCTCTTGTTTCCGTTTACAAATCCGCTTAATCATATTTGCGATTTTAGGGTGAAGAACTGAAAGACATCAAAGTTGAGGTTAAAGTGGAAAAAGAAGAGATGTTTGAGGATCAGCAATCTATGGTGGAAGGTGGTCCTCTGCGTTCTCGGGATTCCACACAGGAAGATCACACCATCCCCCATCATCATCAGGTAGGTGGGACTGAGGACGTTGAACTCAAACTTGGCTCTAAATTTTATTGAATGATATTCTTCTAGTACACACCATGATTTTGTGATATATTTTTTTTTTTTTTTTCTTTTCCCCAGGTGATGGATATAAAATCTGAATTCGAAGAGGTAGATGAGATGTATGTGATCTGTGAACAGTTGCCAATAGAAGAACAAGTGATGGTGACAATTGTTAGATCGGGTATGTATTCGATACAAAAATGCAGCACTCCACATTTTTATTACACATTCATTCTTTCACATTTCCATTTATTTTCATCAAGTTCAGGTGTGCAGATTGATCAGAACCGTTGAAAAATTAGCAAGCCTTTAACCCCATCCAGTCCGGACGCTTTCACCCCCTTTCTCGTCCGGACGCTTTCCCCCCCTTCCGGTCCGGGCGCTTTCACCCCCCCTTCCGGTCCGGGCGCTTTCACCCCCCCTTCCGGTCCGGGCGCTTTCACCCCCCCCTTCCGGTCCGGGCGCTTTCACCCCCCCTTCCGGTCCGGGCGCTTTCACCCCCCCCTTCCGGTCCGAGCGCTTTCACCCCCCCCTTCCGGTCCGGGCACTTTCACCCCCCCTTCCGGTCTTGGCGCTTTCACCCCCCTTCCGGTCCTGATGCTTTCACCCCCCTTCCTGTCCAGGCCAATTTTCAGCTTTCAGCGCTATCACACTTTGAATGATAATTGCGCGGTCATGCAACAGTGTACCCATATGGATATTTTATCATTTTTTTGAGAGACAGATAAAACTTTATTTTGGTGGTATTTATTCACCACTGGGACTTTTTTTTTTTTTTTTTTTTTTTTGCTATATAAATGAAAAAGTCCAAAAATTTTGAAAAAAAAAAGTGTTTTTCTTATAAAATTTTGCAAATAATCTTTCTTTATACATCTTGGCCAAAATGTATTCAGCTATCTTTTTAGTGAAAAAAAAAAACTAAAATGTATAATTTTTCAATTTTGTTTTTTTTTTACATTTTTTATTTTTTTTTTATGTTATTATTTATGTTTTTTTTTTTTTTTTTTAACATACCATCACCCTAGCAGTACAGTGTCACCATAGTGTACTATTTGTGGGGGGTGATGAAGATTTTTTTTTTTACACTGATTGCTTTTACACCCATAAAGGCTGTAAAAGCAATCATTTCTCCTTCTCTCTGGCTGCATTCCTGCAGCCATTGAGAAATGCTGTGAGAGCTGTGATTGGTCACAGCTTGTCACATGGTACAGGGTTGTTGTGAATGGCCCTGTACCATGTGACCTCTGTGACCATTCACAGATTTCACACGTAGTAAGCAATGATGGCAGGGCTGCTGGTAGAAACCATGGGGCACCTTACAGTCAACCTAACAGGGCCCCCCATCCCCACACAAAATACAGTTTACTATGCTTCAGTTATGAATGAACACATTGAGTGATCGGTACTGATCACTCATTGTGTTCATTCAGGAAAGGAAGGGGCTGGTAAATTTCTGGAACTGATTCCCTGTATGTCTCTCTCTGCAGCAGCTGAAAGCCAGTGGAGAGGGGCAGAGGAGAAGAAGCCGGCTTTCAGCTGCTGCAGAGAGAGCCATACAGGGGATCGGTTGCAGTAATTGCCCCCCAACTGCCACGCCGATCACCCTACCTGCCCATGTCCGATTCACCTGGCTGCCTGGTCCCCATACAGGAGGATTGGTGGTACCCCCTTATCCACGGCCCTGGGTGTGGGTGTGCACATGGGGTGGCCAATACCAGTGCTTTCTAAGTGATCGGGTAGCTGCCACACCACCAGACCGACCAGCAGTTGGCTTACCAGATATACACACAGTCCTGGTGGCTGCAGCCCCTGGGAGTGTGTGTAAAACCTTCCCGCTATCAGGAACTTACAACATATGAACCTTGCAGGAAAAGGGTTAAAAGACTAAAATTGACTTGCCATGATATGGCAAATATGCAGTGTAGCTATACCACATCCCATGCATTGGAGAGTACACCATATGAAAGGGTCCATCTCCATTCCCTAATCTAACATGTTCCCAACAAATGAGGAGGAGATACTGGACACCATATGAAAAGTCCATCTCCATTCCTCAATATAAAGTCATGTTCCCAACAAATTAGGAGATACTGGACACCATATGAAAGGTTCTTTTGTGTTCCTTGCTATACCATAGTCATTATTGTATGTAAACCACCCGCCAGTGGGCTATAGTTGCTTTAGTTGCATTGTACACATTTCCTGACTGCTATCCTTGTGTCGTTGTTAATATCACTGTACCTAATTCTGTGCTATTGATCTAGCCAGGGAACCGTTGACTAATAGACTAGCATACATGATCACTAAATGCAGAACATGAACGATGCTGCTACTAATTATTAAAATTTCAACAGGAGGAGCCAATGTACGGAAGACCCCGATACGACGTCCTATTTTATCTGCGGATTATAACAAAGACAAAAATGACACGGCACAATCTTCTCCAGGAGTAGCCATTGTTACTACAAATATACATCAAAAACCTACTCCTAGGGTAAAATCAAAAGAGCGGCTTAGACCGATGCGTGTAAATAAATTACGCACTATTCTCCCAAAGGGCCATCCTGGCTTTCACAGTGCAGCACCACCACCAGATCCTTCTAATAACAAGGAATCTTCAGAGGAGTCCAAAGATAAACCACATACTGTTATCCCAAATGTCCAACCAAGCTTTCACAATGCAGGGCGAGCACCAAATTCTGCTAATCCCAAGGAATTTTCCACACAGAAAGTGACACTAGTCAACCACTGTCTTGATCAGCATGTGGAACCTTATGAAAGGAAGGCTTCGTTGTCATGTTTAGAACGTGGCAAGTCAGAACATACTATTCTCACAAAGGTCCATCCATGCTTTCACATTGCAGGGCAAGCACCAGATCCTGCTAATCCCAAGGAATTTTCCACTCACAAAGTGACTCTAGTCAACCACTGTCTTGGTCAGCACGTGGAACCTCATGAAATGAAGGCTTCATTGTCATGTTCAGAACGTGGCAAGCCAGAACATACTATTCTCACAAAGGTCCAGCCATGCTTTCACATTGCAGGGCAAGCACCAGATCCTGCTAATCCCATGGAATCTTCCACACCGAGAGTGACTCTAGTCAACCACTGTCTTGGTCAGCATGTGGAACCTCATGAAATTAAGGCTTCATTGTCCTGTCCGGAACGTGGCAAGTCTGAACATACTATTCTCACAAAGGTCCAGCCATGCTTTCACAGTACAGAGCAGTCACTAGGTCTTTCTAATCCCAAGGAATCTTCTACTAATAATTTACCTTCTGTTCAGGATTGTGAAAAATCAAGCCTAAAAAATCAAACCCTCTCTGTAAACCCGAAACCTCACACCAGTAAAAAATGCTTCTTGTGTTCCGAGTGTGAGAAGTCCTTCAAAAATAAATACGATTTTGTTCAACACCAGAGTGTTCATAACGGCGAGAAGCCCTATGCCTGTCCTGAGTGTGGAAAGTGCTTCTCCAGAAAAGTGATCTATGATAGCCACATGAGGACTCACACCATTGAGAAGTCATTTTGCTGTTCAGAATGCGGCAAAAGGTTTGCACAGAAAGAGACGCTAGTCGACCACTGTCTTGAACAGCATATGGAGCTTTATGAAATTAAGGCTTCACCGTCATGTTCCAAGTGTAGGAAGTCATTGGAAAAGAGATCTGAATTCAATGTCCACCGGAAGGGTCACACCCGCAAGGAGATCTGCTCTGGCTGTGAAAAATCAGTCAAAAGAAAATGTGATCCGGTTGAACACCAAAAAGTTCATGCCGGAGAACCAACTTTTTCATGTGGCAAGAAGCCCTTCAAAAATAGTTGGAAATCCCTTCGACACCGGAGAACCCACACCGTGGAAAAGCCCTTCTCGTGTTCTGAGTGCGGAAATACTTTTTCAGAGAAATCACAACTAAAAGCGCACCAGACAGTCCACTCCGCTGCAAAGCCATTTTCCTGTGCCGAGTGCGGAAAGAGCTACTCCAGTAAAGGGAACCGTGATAAACACATGAAGATTCACACCGGAGAGAAACCGTTTTCCTGTTCAGATTGCGGCAAACGTTTTACACAGAAAATAACACTAATCAACCATCAAAGAGTTCATACCAGACTAATGATTTACACAAAAACACTCACAAAGTGACCCTAATTCTCCACCAGAGAACACACCACCGAAGACCACTGAAGAACGTAGGGTGGCGTTTCATAGACCGACTCCTGTTCAGAGAACAATCAGACTATAAAAATGAAGGATCGTCCAACCTATTGGATATTCCAGTTTTTTAGTTTTGTTGTTGTGGTTTCATGTCTGTTATTTATTTCGCTACTTAAAAGCGCAAAATTCCTTTCGAGAACATGTCTGGGCATTGCCTACAAATGGCAGCTTCAGCCACTTTACTTCTCCTTTTCTAAACAAACATCCAGGCCTTCCCTTCCTCTACAGTAGATCCTAGGTAAGGGTCTGGTGCAGTTGGGGGCATCAGCCAAAAAAAAAAAAAAAATGGTTTGCCGTAAACCCCCCCCTTCAGACTCTTGAGGTCTGGTATGGATTTTGAGAGGGAACCCTACACAAAAATCAAGAAAATAAAGGTCCCCCCTAAAATTCCACAACAGACTTTTATCCAATCGATGCTGGGTGGGCCAGGAAAAGGGGGAACGAGTGTGCAGCTCCTGTCCTGAACCATATCAGGCCACATGCCCTCGAGGTGGATCCCACCTTGTCCCCATATTGATGAAGATGAGGGCCTATTTCCCACAACCCTAGCACGGCGGTTTTGGAGGTCAGGGGCTTATTAGAATCTGGAAGCCTGCTTTAACAATAAGGCTGCACCTAGATACCTCCTCCATGTGAATGAGTATGGAGTACGTAGTACCCCTTCTCATTCACGAAAAATAAACAGTAGATAACAACACACACACAGTCCCAAAAAGTCCCACGATGTACATCCACCATCATCTATACAATCCACAAATGCAGACTCAGCCCGGGTTCCCCTATATGCGGTGCGGTAGGGTAGGGTTTCTCGGGTGAGGTCATTGACCAAATATGGACATGAACATATTTGATCAATGATGTCACAAAGATGCCATGACATCGTTGACCAAATCTGGCCATATCCATATCTGGTCAACGACATCACCCGGAAGACCCCACGCCTTTATTTATATCAGCTTACCTGCAGCAGAGCTTTTCATTTGTGGGCAAGCAGTCCTTCAGGATCAGATGTGTAGGTGGTTGTTGAGCCGGGTTCACCGTGATAAACATGGATGAGCTTCCTGCCTGCAGACCCCGACAGCCACAAAGCCGAGGCCCTTGTCCTCATCAACACCAGGCTTCCCCCAAGCAAGGCAACTCCCATCTTGAGGGCATATGGCCTGGTGTAATTCAAGGTTGGAGGAGGCTTCTTCCCCCCTTTCCTGGCCTAACAGTTGGCGTGCCCAAATAAGAGTCTGCTTTTTTTTTTTTTTTTTAAATTACGTATATCCATTGTAGACTTTTGGAGGGACCTGAAGGGTCTGGTGTAGAATGTTGGAGGACCCTGAAGGACCTGGTATGAATCATAGGGGGTACCCCACTCTCTGGGAGGCTATCAAATATGGTAGCAGTAGATCAACCTTTTACTATATGTAATGTTTGTCCAATTGCCAGACTTTCGGCCCCGCAAGAGTCCATTACACAAACCAATATTTGGGCCGAACCTGGAGCCCATCCCTAGTTGTCACTGGGACAAGAAATCAGGGAAATTTCCCTAACGTGGGATACTGATCACAAAACACAGGCTGTCGTCTACTCCATTCTGTCAAATTGGCAGAATTTCCACTTTAATTGTTGAAGATCTTTGGGAACAATGGTTGGGTCTCAGGTTGATCTTCTTTCTTACGTTCCGTCAAGATATTGTATGCATTGCAGAAATTCAATAAAGTTCTCATTGGTAAACCCTGGTGTGGACTCTTTCTTTGTTTCATACGCACTGGTACCACTGCTAATTGGGAAATGGGAATTTCTCTGGCAATGCCTACACTCAGTCAGGGCTTGACAAATGGGATCTCTACATGAGAGAGCCTGTTCTGGTCCTCTTAACTAACAGTCCTTGGATATTTGGGGAAATGGGAACTTCTCTGGTGATATCTACACTGTCAGGGCTTGAGAAATGGGATTTCCACATGAGAGCCTGTTCTGGTCCTCTTAACTAACAGTCCTTGGATATCTGGGGAAATAGGAACTTCTCTGGCAATGTCTACACTCAGTCAGGGCTTGACAAATGGGATCTCCACATGAGAGAGCCTGTTCTGGTCCTCTTGGCTAACAGTCCTCGGATATCTTGGATAGCTTCCCATGCTTGTAAGGGGGGAAGGGTGGTGGTTGTTTGTCACGTCCTCCATGCTTTCCTCCTCATTGGGCGCCAAGCAAGGGTCAAATGGGATCTCTACATGAGAAAGCCTGTTCTGGTCCTCTTAGCTAACAGTCCTTGGATATCTAGGGAAATGGGAACTTCTCTGGCAATGTCTACACTCAGTCAGGGCTTGACAAATTGGATTTCCACATGAGAGCCTGTTCTGATCCTCTTAACTAACAGTCCTTGGATATCTGGGGAAATAGGAACTTCTCTGGCAATGTCTACACTCAGTCAGGGCTTGACAAATGGGATCTCCACATGAGAGAGCCTGTTGTGGTCCTCTTAGCTAGCAGTCCTTGGATATCTGTGGAAATGGGAACTTCTCTGGTGATGTCTACACTCAGTCAGGGCTTGACAAATGGGATATCTACATGAGAGAGCCTGTTCTGGTCCTCTTAGCTAGCAGTCCGTGGATATCTGGGGAAATGGGAACTTCTCTTGTGATGCCTACACTCAGCCAGGGCGTGACAAATGGGATTTCTACATGATAGAGCCTGTCCTGGTTCTCTTAGCTAACAGTCCTTGGATATCTTGGATAGCTTCCCATGCTGGTAAGGGGGGAAGGGTGGTGGTGGTTTGTCACGTCCACCATGCTTTCCTTCTCATTGGGCGCCAAGCAAGTGTCAAATGGGATCTCTACATGAGAGAGCCTGTTCTGGTCCTCTTAGCTAACAGTCCTTGGATATCTGGGGAAATGGGAACTTCTCTGGCGATATCTACACTCAGTCAGGGCTTGAGAAATGGGATATCTACATGAGAGAGCCTGTTCTGGTCCTCTTAGCTAACAGTCCTTGGATATCTGGGGAAATGGGAACTTCGCTGGTGATATCTACACTCAGTCAGGGCTTGAGAAATGGGATTTCCACATAAGAGAGCCTGTTGTGGTACTCTTAGCTAGCAGTGCTTGGATATCTGGGGAAATGGGAACTTCTCTCGTGATGCCTACACTCAGTCAGGGCGTGACAAATGGGATCTCTACATGATAGAGCCTGTCCTGGTTCTCTTAGCTAACAGTCCTTGGATATCTTGGATAGTTTCCCATGCTGGTAAGGGGGGAAGGGTGGTGGTTGTTTGTCACGTCCTCCATGCTTTCCTCCTCGTTGGGCACCAAGCAAGGGTCACATGGAAGGCCTACCCTGGGGTGGGTTCTTCTAAGATACAATAAGTACCTTTATAGGTACCTTGTACACTCTTTCTACTTCACACACAGGGGAACCTTTGCTTTAGTGCCATTTTCACCAATGTTCTGGGACAAGGCTGAGTACTCCTTACTTTTAGAGATGAACGTACACCACGTACACTTACACAACAACTGTTTTCCAGTTGACTCTCGGGTCCCCGTGTAAATGTCCATTATAGCAAACTTGCTCATCAGAGATGGACGCGGAGTTCTCCTTTTTTATTAGAAGTATTCCTCGATCCTTTATTCCCTACCCCCTCCCTTCCTGAGAGGCACAGGGACAGATGTGTAAGTGTTAAAAGTTGCTGGCAGGCTGGAGCAGCAGGGGGCCCAGCGCTACAAAGCCCCCCCATAGAGACAGCAGACTCTCTGTCCCAAGGCCTGTGTAGACTCACACCTCCTAACCAAGATAAGGTAGTTTTTTCCCCTGGACTTGAAAGACGTTGGAACCTCATAAACTCTACCAGCCAGGTGACAGAAGTTAAATGAACATTCCTCAGGTCAAATGTCACCTATGTTTCATATCATGGATTATGAAGCTGTCAGTTTTAATGCAGAGTCCATCCGACGATCCCGCCCAAAACAGGGTATTGGCCAGTACTCAGAGCCACCCCCCCTGCAGGGGGACTTTAAAAGACAGGCTGGCAAGTCTAGAAAGCTAAGCTAAACACATCTCCCAATTTTAACATCGTAACAGCAGGAGATCAAAGACCCTTCGCTCTGCAACTTGGATCTGCTTACCTTAAGGCTGAACATGGCAAGTAACTTAACCTTTTAACTTCTCCCTGTTATCTCTTTGCTGTGCTATTTTCTATGTACAGTATATATAAACATATATCTTAGTTACATCTTTTTCTGTAAATATTTTATTGCACCTGTTTGACTCTTTTAGTAATAAATCTTTCTTTCTGAAAGTGTTAAACTGTTTCTAAAGCACTTATTTGCAATTTACGAATTCCTGCCTTTTGAAGAGACGCTACTGTGTTTGTTTAATCCTCTGCCCAATCGGCCTGCGGTGACCGGAGTGGACAGGCAACTTTTCAACCATTACAGTGTATATTGGATAAAGAAAGTTTCCTTTTTCTCTGTACAAAAGAAAGTGGTGGCAGTGTGAAAGGGTTAGTTGTGTAATTAACCCGACCCAGTAACAAGCGCATTCAGACTGCAGGCACCGATTGTAGTCCATTAGCTGGAAAATCGCTGTGTAGGGTGCAGCTGGGTGTGGCCTTGTTACGCACGTCACATCGCGGTTTTAGATCGGCCGGTCCTTCAGTCACGAGTTTGGTGAGAAGGTCTGGGGTCTGACGCCGCGGGCGTGACGTATTGTTGGTCGCGGTCGTGCGATTGTCGCATGTTGAGGGTGGCGATCGTGCGTCCGTGACATCCATCTTCCCACTGTAGCCTGCAATTAGGCAGGCCTTGCTGAACACTGACCACAGCCACCTGTCCAGTCCTGGTAACAGCATGAAACCCCGCCGTGCACGTAGCGTGAGCTCCAACATGCACTTGACTTTAACTTTTGAACCTCTGTATAGGATGGGGACCTCTGCAGTGCAGAGTCTATGT